GATCGGCGCGGCCGGCGTGCGCTTGACAGCTCTTTCTCGACCGGCCGCCGCTCCGCAGCAATACCGTTGCCTATATACATATACACGGTGTCTCCGAGCATTACCGCCTCCCTCCCCCAAATCGTAGTCGATGTCTTTTGCGCTAGAATTTCGTCTAACGACACTTTCCTACGCGCTAACGTCTTGATTTAGTTCTAATATTATACCATCAAAGTATTTATGGATATAAGAAAACATGATGTTGCAAAAAATTATGACATAGAGAAGATCGGGGCCGATTGTTAGTTTTTGATTAGTGATTTTTAGAAAAAAGTGGATGCCTGATTTTTAAATATTATATATTATAATATATATATACGTTAATATACCTACATTCTTTAGGTGTTAAAATATATTACTCGTGAATTCATCATATTGTAAAAATAAATTTTTAATTTGTTTTTGTACTGTTTCTATATGAAAAATGAAAAAACATATATATCTATATGAAATATGATATATTTGTAAGTATATTCTCTAAAAATTTGTTCTCTAAAGATATTAAAATTGTCACCTCTAACCTCGTCTCATTTTGGTCAATCTACTCCACATAGCCATTTTTAATAAAAGAGATTATATTTATAAACTTTGTCAAGATAATGATTAATTAATTGTAGCAAAGATTTTCTAAGACATGTTATTTTCCATGAATACAGGGATATCGCGATTAACAATGCCAAAGACTTATCTGACAACAAAATAAGTGATAAGAAAAATTTACTCATCAATTTCATTTTCTTATACAATGCTTGTGGTGTAAATCATTTTACATAACAAATTAATATTGTATCATCAATCTACAGTAAAAAAAAAAGAAATTTTTCTGCTATGTCCTGTTTGAATTATAAGCATCTTGACAATCAATTTCGTACGACAACCCCGGTTTCCCTTACTAAAATCTGTTTGAGTATTCTATATAATTATTTCGATAATCCAACAATTCAATTTCTATCAATGTAGATTAAAGCCTATGACACATGATCTATATTTTTCTGCTGAATTGCTTGCGTTTCAATAAATTACTATAAGAACTGCATTTTGTGTAGTGCAATTCTAATTTATTAAAACGCAAGCAATTCACAGGAAAAATATAAGTGAGAAAAATACATCAATACGTGCCGCTGACTTAACTTTAATTCTGGTTTAACTTATGGTAAATTCAGTATTTATATTACACTCGATTAGAACACATTAAAGACTACTTTTTATATAAAATATTTATCTAAATATAATGGCATACCTAATATAATAAACTTTTTAATCAACAATTAATTAATACACACACACATATATATATATATATATATATATATATATATATATTCTGTTGAATAATGTGACAATATTAATAATAGATATTTAATTGTTTAAATTGTTTAAAATATTCACATACTTTTATATTAACTTTGCTAATTTTTTGTATAGCTTTAGTGTGCACTAATATGATTGATGCAAGTGAAATAGAATTTGTTTATAATACTTTTTCTAGTTTTAAGAATTAGAAAAAAATAGACATACTCAAATCGAGATGAATTTTAATTAATTTGTGATTTATTATAGATTTCGCTTCATTTAACTTAATGATAGTATAAAAATTTTTTTAGCTATGATTAATTAATTATTAAGCTCATGGTTTTATAGTAGTAACTTTAAAAGTTACTTACAAAATCATCAGTTTAGTAATTAATTATAACGAGAAAAATTTTTACAATTTTCATTAGGTAACCATAAGTTTAACCACAAGTTAACCGAAAAATGAAATTAAATGAATTAACCCTTTCAAACTTATAATTGGGATTATATCAAAGAAATTTTTTTTTAATTCAATTTATGAACACTTTAATAAATAATTCGTACT